CTGACTGCCGGCTGCCTGTAATTTGGCAGTTCAAATCTCACCAGGCTCAAGGTTGACTCAGCCTCCCGTCCTTCCGAGCTGCGTAAAATGAGGACCCAGATTGTTGGGGGCAAGAGATGCTGACTCTGTAAACCGCTTGGAGAGGGCTGGAAAGCCCTGTGAAGTGGTATATAATTCTAAGTGCTATTGCTATTTTCCTTCCTTCCTTCCTTCCTTCCTTCCTTCCTTCCTTCCTTCCTTCCTTCCTTCCCTCCCTCCATTATCCATCCATCCTTCCTTCCTCTATCTTTCCTTCCTTCCTTCCTCTCTCCCTCCCTCCCTTGATGGTGTAGTGGTTAGAATGCAGAATTGCAGGCTAATTCTGCCCACAGCCAGGAGTTCGATCCTGACTGGTGCAAGGTTGACTCATCCTTGCGTCCTTCTGAGGTCAATAAAATGAGGACCCAGATTGTTGGGGGCAAGAGATGCTGACTCTGTAAACTGCTTAGAGAGGGCTTGGAAGCTCTGTGAAGCAGTATAGAAGTCTAAGGGATATTGCTATTTTCCTTCCTTTCTTCCCTTCCTTCCATTATCCATCCTCTATCTTTCCTCCCTCCCTCCCTCCCTTGATGGTGTAGTGGTTAGAATGCAGAATTGCAGGCTAATTCTGCCCACAGCCTGGAGTTTGATCCTGACTGGCTCAAGATTGATTCATCCTTGTGTCCTTCTGAGGTCAATAAAATGAGGACCCAGATTGTTGGGGGCAAAAGGCTGACTTTGTAAACCGCTTAGAGAGGGCTGGGAAGCACTGTGAAGCGGTATATGTCTAAGTGCTATTCCTATTTTCCTCCTTCCTTCCTTCCATTATCCATCCATCCATCCTTCTTCTATCTTTCTTTCCTTCCTTCCTTCCTTCCTTCCTTCCTTCCTTCCTTCCTTCCTTCCTTCCTTCTTTCCTCTATCTTTCCTTCTTCCCTCCCTCCCTCCCTTGATGGTGTAGTGGTTAGAATGCAGAATTGCAGGCTAATTTTGCCCACAGCCAGGAGTTCGATCCTGACCGGCTCAAGATTGATTCATCCTTGTGTCCTTCTGAGGTCAATAAAATGAGGACCCAGATTGTTGGGGGCAAGACATGCTGACTCTGTAAACTGCTTAGAGAGGGCTGCAAAGCACTGTGAAGCGGTATATAAGTCTAAGTGCTGTTGCTATTTGCATCCTTTCAGTGAGTCCTTGAGGCCACTTGGAGGTTTCTCTGTGTCCCCGGGGTCACCTGAGTGGTGCAAATGGGGGTGGAGCCTTTTTGGAACTGCAGCAAGGACCATGTTGTAGATTGGAGATGATGCCAGTGAAGCTCCACCCCCATTTGCACCACTCAGGTGACCCTGAGGACACAGAGAAACCTCCAAGTGGCCTCAAGGACCCTCTAAAACAGTGTTTCTCAACCTTGGCAACTTGAAGATGTCCGGACTTTAACTCCCAGAATTCCCAATCTTCCCTTCTCTAGGAGTTGAAGTCCGGACATCTTCAAGTTGCCAAGGTTGAGAAACACTGCTCTCAAAGGCTGCAAATGACCAGCTGTCTGCAAGGAATACAAAATCCTTCCCTTCCCCACCATCCAGTCAGAACGGAAGAAGCTTCTTGGAGGAGAAGCGAAACAACTTCAAAAGGAAAAACCAGAAAGTCCGATTGCCTTTTGAAGAAAAAGGACCTTTGGGACATTCATCAGACAGTTTATCCTCCCGACCACTGACCATCTCTGCGCTTCTTCTCTGCAATTCTTTTGATTGATTAAAGCCCTTTTTCCAAAATTGCCCACCAAGGCCCGGCGAACGGCTCGAATCTCTTCTGCGCCTGAGCGATGCGTCTCTGCCCCACATTTTAGGACCCCATTAATGGCAGAAAGCAAAAAATAAAGTAAAATAAAGGAACAAGGAAGAAAGGAACAGCCGGGGGAGAGGGAGATTGACTTCTTGCACTTGCAAAATCACCCCAAATCTGCAAATTCCTTCTCTGCTTGAGACGCCACTGGCTACCAGTTGGCAATTATGAGAAATGTTCCTCTCCTTCCTTCCTCAATTTTTGTATTCCTTCCTTCCTCTTTCTTTCTTTCTCTTTCTTCCTTCCTTCCTTCACTTCTCATTCCTTCCTTCCTCAGTTTTTGTCTTCCTCCCTCCCTCCCTCTTTCCCTCCCTTCCTTCCTCTTCTTTCTTTCTCTTTCTTTCTTCCTTCCCTTCTCATTCCTTCCTTCCTCAATTTTTGTCTTCCTTCCTTCCTCTTTCTTTCTCTTCCTTCCTCTTCTTTCTTTCTTTCTTTCTTTCTTTCTCTTTCTTTCTTCCTTCCCTTCTCATTCCTTCCTTCCTCAATTTTTGTCTTCCTTCCCCCTCCCTCTTTTCCTCCCTCCCTTCCTCTTCTTTCTTTCTTTCTTTCTTTTTTTCTTTCTTTCTCTTTCTTTCTTCCTTCCCTTCTCATTCNAGGAGAGAAGCAACTTAGAACTTAAGGAGAAATTTCCTGGCAGTTAGAACAATTAACCAGTGGAACTGCTTGCCATAAGAAGTTATTGGTGCTCCATCGCTGGAGGTTTTTAAGAAGAGACTGGGCAGCCACCTGTCTAATGCTGAGCAGGGGGTTGGACTAGAAGACCTCCAAGGTCCCTTTCAACTCTGTTATTCCTTCCTTCCTTCCATCCATCCATCCATCCATCCATCCATCCATCCTTCCTTCCTTCCTTCCTCTCTCTCTCCCTTTAAAAATGTTTTTTAAGAAGAGATTTGACAGTCACTTGACTGAAATGCCGTAGGGCCTCCTGCTTGAGCAGGGGGTTGGACTAGAAGACCTCCAAGGTCCCTTTCAACTCTCTAATTCTGTTTATTCTGACATCTCAAACGCTGGAAGATTTTGCACGAAACTGAAAAAAGCCAGAGTCACGTTGAACTCCTGCCAAGGAAAACGGTGTTTTTTTGCAAATGCCCGGAATGGTTTTCATTCTTCGCTTGTTTGCTAAAGCAATTCCCGGCAGCAGCGACTCCACTTGTGGTGTTGCCAAAAAGGAGAAACGTTGTGCTTTTGTGCATCGCTCCTGTTGCGATGACACACTTGCTGCCCCTTCATTCCCCCCCCCCTGCCCCCCGCAGCTAAAAATTCCTGCCACGCAAATAATGCTGGGCTCAATTTCTTCCCCCTCGAATTGGGAAGGAGAAAACGACCCTGTTATTTGTATTTTGTATTTGTTTATTATTTATTATTAACGTTGCTGGGTGTTTTGGCTACGGGAACCCCACTTTTCGTGGAGTGCAGGCAGTCCTCGACTTACGACTGTTCGTTTAGCGACTGTTCAAAGTTCCAAAGGTGCGGAAAAACGGGAGCCGTGGTTGTTTTTCGCACTTACGACCCCCGCCGCATCCCCGTGGTCGGGGGATCGAAATTCAGACGCTTGGCAACTGACTCGTATTTGTGACGTGTCCCGGGGGGTCACAAGATCCCATTTTGTGACTTTCTACTAGCAAAGTCGACGTGGAAGCTGGATTCACTTAATGACCAGGCTATTAACTTATCAACCACAGTGATTCGTTTAACAACTGCAGCGAGAAAGGTCATTGAATGGGGTAAAATTCGCCGAACAAAAATCTCGCTTAGCACAGAAATGTTGTGGTCCTAAGTTGAGGACTGGCTGTGCTGAGGAATATCAGAATGCGTCGTTCAAAGGGAGGGGAGGATGAGGAAGAAAAACCAACAACACGTATCGAAGAAGGACAGGAAGTTCTCGAATTACGACCACCATTCAGCCCAACATTTCCGTCGCTAAGCAAGACAGTTGTTAAGGGAGTTTGCCCACATTTTATGGCCTTAGATTGGGAATCGAGCCAGTTTCAGGATTAGCAGCATATCCTGAATCATATACAGGGAGTCCTCGGCTAACGACCACAGTGTAGGCAAAGATTTATGTTGCTAAGCGAGAGATGCTAAGCGAGCTTTGCCCCCATTTTATGACTTTTTGTGCCACCATCGTTAAGCGAATCACTACAGATGTTAAGTTAGAAACAGGGTTTTTAAGACAGCCGGTCATTCTAAGAGCCGAGGTGGCGCAGTGGTTAGAGTGCAGTACTGCAGGCTACTTCTGCTGACTGCCGGCTGCCTGCANCCCCAGGGAAAAGGGCGGCCTATAAATAAACTTTTCCAATTCCAATTCCAATTCCAACAGGAGGAGGCCCATGCATTCAAGAAGTCCTCCGCCTTGAGTTATTGGCAACTCAAATGCAGATATTTACCTGCATCCCACCTTTATTATTTAAATGAAGGCGGGATGCAGATAAATAAACAATAATCAACATCTCCTTCCCCCCCTCCTCCACCTGTGGCACCACTGCTACGGCTCATTCCACCCTCCCTCCCCGACACAACACAACACACATTATTGCTGAACTTTTGTGAGTCAACATACAAAGCTCCCCAGGGACTCCCCCCGCCACGTCAGCTTCCCCACATCAAGGACCCACGTCATGGGCCGGCTACCTTTCACCCAACCCAAAACAGAAGGTACGACAACACCACCGGTGGCATGGATCCATCTGCAAGGTTGCCAAGGGAACCTGATCCTTGCCTGCCAGGGATACAAGCCCCTTAATGATGGGGTGTGTGTGTGTGTGATTTTTTGTTTCCCCATCCTCTCCC